AGTCCGGACCTCTGCAGGGGGGGCGGGGGGGCAGCCACAGCTCACATCATCGTCCCAGGGCACTGCTGCCCCTCGCCATGCCCCCAGGAGCCCCCCGCCCTCGCTTCAGGATGACAGTCCTGGGCGGGGTCACCCAGAACAGACCGCGAAGAACGGTCCCTGACGGCCCTGCCCTGGGAACCCGCGCGGCCCACCCTCACTCACCAGGTACCACTGCTGGGGGTACTTGGGGTCCGTCGGCTCCAGGGAGAGGTCTCTTTTCTTCCGTCTCTTTGCCACCTGCTGCTCCAGCCAGTGTACCTGAGGCAACGGGGGGGCGCGGGGGGAGAGAAGGTTTTTACGGGAGGACGGGCAGCCTCTCCAAACCCTTTCAGTCACACCAGCCTTATGGGTGCACAGAGCTTTCCTGGCACTGCGGCCTGGGTGGCACTGCCCAGGAGGCCAGCTGGGTACTCCCAACCCAGCTCTGCTATCCAGAGAGGAATGTAGGGTCTCGCAGCCCCTCCTCCTTCTGGGCACCAGGCCCAGAAGCGTCTCCGCAGACTCCAGGGCAAGCGAACAGAGGCCCCAGACGCCTCCACGGCAGCCACAGCCCAGGGGCGAATGGCAGGGGGACCCGATCACATGCAGCTTTGCCGTTTCCCCATTTCAGCATGTCAAGCCACATGGGAATAAACAGAGCGTGCGGAACACGTACGGACGCCGGCCTTCATCTTTGAGACCTCCAGACTGGCCGACATATTCCCCTTGCCTGCCCCCCACCTTCGAGGACTGCCAACAGTCGCCATTTTTGCTGTACCCTCCCCTTCACACACACACACACACACACACACACACACACACACAGGGGAGCTGGAGATGTGGAAAGCAACTTATTCTCAGGGTTCAATGGATCCTCCGGTACCTTGGACCAGAAGAGGCGGTACCCACGAGAGCTGCCCGGCACGCCTGTCTGCACCAACCCACTCCTGCTCGGCTCAGCAGACTGAGGACTGGCGGGGTCCCTGCCCCTCCTGGGCCGCTTGGGCCCTCCTCCCTCTTGGACTTTCCCAGCAGCCCTGGGCTGGAGCCCCCCCCCCCGTGCAGGAGGAAGGGGGAGGGAGGCTGGCCAATGGCCACTGCCCGTCGGGAGAGGAGCTGGACCACAGCTTGGCAGCTGCTGCTGCTCCTCCTCCTCAGGGCTTCCTTCCCTGGCCCCCAAGACAGCCCCATGCATCCCCTGCCCCACTGCTTCCAACCCAACCCAACCAAGCCCCTCATCGATGTCCAGGGAGGCACGTTGCCCATTTTGGATGCCCCAGACAGAAACTGGGCAGGGCCTGAAGCCAAGAGCACAGAGGCCAGGAGCACGAGCACCTCCCCTCCCAGGCACAGGGACCGGAAGCCGCTCCCACCGCCATGGCTGGCAAGAGCGGACCAAGCCCCCCTTGGTCTAACCCGAACGCACTCACCTCGGGCTCCCTGCTCAAGGAGCTGTGCCAGGATCTGTGGGGGGAGAGCGACCGCTTCGCCACGGCCCGGTGGCAGAGGAGGAAATAGTCGTCAAAGATCTGGGGGGGGGGGGGGGGGGGCGGGCA